CCGGTCCTGCAGATTTGCTTTATTCAACATCAAGAAGATCAGGCCCTTTCTTTCGGAACATGCTTCAGAACTCCTTGTTCAAGCTCTTGTTCTGTCCAGGCTGGACTATTGCAATGCTCTCTTGGCAGGTCTTCCAGCCAGTTCTATCAAACCTTTACAATTAATGCAGAACGCGGGAGCAAGATCAATTTTTAACGAGCCGAAAAGAACGTCACACCTCTGTTTATCAGTTTTCACTGGCTACCAAAAACTGCTCTCATAAAATTCAAGGCATTAATGTTTGCCTACAAAACCACCACTGGCTCTGCACCCCTTTACCTAAATTCATTACTTCAGACTTATGTGCCCTCTAGAAGCTTGCGTTCTGCAAGTGAATGGCGCTTTATTGTGCCATCCCAAAGAGGCACAAAATCACTTTCTCAGACTTTTAAATTAAATGTTCCCTCCTGGTGGAATGACCTGCCCAACTCAGTCCGAGCAGCTGAGTTCTTAGCCATCTTCAAAAATCAGCTAAAAACACATCTCTTCCATCTTTATTTGACCCTCTAACTCTAGCACTCTCTATTCTAATTCTATTCTTTATAAAAAAAAACTTGCCCCTTTTAGACTTGCACTCTATTTACTTACTAACTGCTTGTTTCCTTAAAAAAGAAAAACTAAAACTAAAACCTCTCTAATCTTTTTGCATTCTATCTATTCGTTTTATTTTTATTTATTATACAATTATAATTCTGACATTCTGACTTCTGATTAACAAAAGCAAAACAAGGCCTCTAACACTAGCTTGCTCTATTCTTTTTCTATACTACCTGTTTTCTTTTTTTATTTATTATACAATTATAATTCTGACATTCTGACTTCTGATTAACAAAAGCAAAACAAGGCCTCTAACACTAGCTTGCTCTATTCTTTTTCTATACTACCTGTTTTCTTTTTTTATTTATTATACAATTATAATTCTGACATTCTGACTTCTGATTAACAAAAGCAAAACAAGGCCTCTAACACTAGCTTGCTCTATTCTTTTTCTATACTACCTGTTTTCTTTTTTTATTTATTATACAATTATAATTCTGACATTCTGACTTCTGATTAACAAAAGCAAAACAAGGCCTCTAACACTAGCTTGCTCTATTCTTTTTCTATACTACCTGTTTTCTTTTTTTATTTATTATATGATTAAAAAATCTTTATATGAAAAAAAACCCTTGCTACATGTTCTGCATTAAGCTAACTGAGACTTGTTATAGCACTTGCATATCATTGCTCTTTTGTTCATTTTGATTGCTTGGATAAAAGCGTCTGCTAAATGTCTAAATGTAAATATGATGATATGTAATAATATTGTTTGGTGGCTGACTAAATACTTTTTTTCCCCACTGTATATATATTCTAAAATAATTCTATGTTTTCTATAATTTAAATTCCTTTTTCTAATTTGGGTAATGGTATTTTGACATATCTTTGTTGTGACATAAAAAAATATAAGCCCATTAAAATTACAAAAAATTATTACAGAAAAAAAAAATCCTTAAATTACTCATGCATATGCTGTTGAATTGTTTGAATTGTCTGGAGCTTATAAATAAACACAAAGGAAATAAGGAACAAGAGTGCAAGCTACCTTTTCCCATGTACTCAGTGACAATGTAAATTGGCTCCTCAGACACTACAGCATACAGGGGCACCAGCTTGTCATGCCGAAGCTTCTTCATGATCTGGGCCTCCTGCAGGAAGGCTTCAGGAGACATGGTGCCCGGCTTCAGTGTCTTTATAGCTACTTTAGTCGTGCCATTCCATGTACCTAGAAAAAGAAAGAAAAAATGAGAGTGCAAAAGAAAGCATTGACAGTATTTTTCCACAAATGAGAATTTGAAAACCTCCACTGCATTCAGCCTTTATCTTCAGAAACATTTGTTGAAACGGCTGAATGTTCAGACAATTCAAAGACTAAAAAACACTGTGTGCAATCTGGGTACTAATTCAGAAGAAGCAGAACTGAAGTGTTAATTCTTAAAATTGACAAAAATTTTTACAAGTGAACAAAGGTAAAACAAAAATCCAGAGTAAATAGTCTACGTATTTGAGAAATATCAGAAAGGAGGTAGGCAGAATCAGTGAAGAAAAATGGGAAAATCAAGAGTTTAAAGTAAACAAGCTTTGTGGATTCTAGTGACACTACTATCAGCTGTTTGGACTCTCATTCTAATGGTACCCATTCACTACAGAAGATCTATTGGTGAGCAAGTGATGTAGTGGTAAAGGAACTCCTGTTTTGAGGAAGAAACAAACTCAGCTACATTTTTTATGGCCTGAGGATGAGTACATTTTCAACAAATGTTTATTTTTGGGTGAACTATCCCTTTAAGAAATTAAAAAAAAACAAGTGAAGAATGTCACTTTGCCAGTCCTGGACAGACCGTTTTGAGAAAACAGTTTAAACGGCAATGACACAGATTGCCAGCTGATGACAAATCCGTTATGTGGAACTGATAATAATATCAGTTATTATGCATGTTGAAACAAACATACACGCACAATAAGTAAAATTCCCAACATTGTTTCCTATGATGTGGCATGCTGGAGCTTGCAGTGTGACAAGATTTAAGAGCAGTGATGAAATACAAAGTATTGTAATAAACCACACCACTCTCTAGTACGTAAACACTTAAGTCCTGTGGTGCATTGGCGAAAACAACAGATATAAATGAAATTCATAGTAGAGGAGAGTGGGTTAAGATGTGTCAGTGGGCATCTTAACAAATTGGTGGCTGACTAAATACTTTTTTCCCCACTGTATATATATTCTAAAATAATTCTGTGTTTTCTATAATTTAAATTCCTTTTTCTAATTTGGGTAATGGTATTTTGACATATCTTTGTTGTGACATAAAAAAAATATAAGCCCATTAAAATTACAAAAAATTATTACAGAAAAAAAAAATCCTTAAATTACTCATGCATATGCTGTTGAATTGTTTGAATTGTCTGGAGCTTATAAATAAACACAAAGGAAATAAGGAACAAGAGTGCAAGCTACCTTTTCCCATGTACTCAGTGACAATGTAAATTGGCTCCTCAGACACTACAGCATACAGGGGCACCAGCTTGTCATGCCGAAGCTTCTTCATGATCTGGGCCTCCTGCAGGAAGGCTTCAGGAGACATGGTGCCCGGCTTCAGTGTCTTTATAGCTACTTTAGTCGTGCCATTCCATGTACCTAGAAAAAGAAAGAAAAAATGAGAGTGCAAAAGAAAGCATTGACAGTGTTTTTCCACAAATGAGAATTTGAAAACCTCCACTGCATTCAGCCTTTATCTTCAGAAACATTTGTTGAAACGGCTGAATGTTCAGACAATTCAAAGACTAAAAAACACTGTGTGCAATCTGGGTACTAATTCAGAAGAAGCAGAACTGAAGTGTTAATTCTTAAAATTGACAAAAAAATTTACAAGTGAACAAAGGTAAAACAAAAATCCAGAGTAAATAGTCTACGTATTTGAGAAATATCAGAAAGGAGGTAGGCAAAATCAGTGAAGAAAAATGGGAAAATCAAGAGTTTAAAGTAAACAAGCTTTGTGGATTCTAGTGACACTACTATCAGCTGTTTGGACTCTCATTCTAATGGTACCCATTCACTACAGAAGATCTATTGGTGAGCAAGTGATGTAGTGGTAAAAAACCTGTTTTGAGGAAGAAACAAACTCAGCTACATTTTTTATGGCCTGAGGATGAGTACATTTTCAACAAATGTTTATTTTTGGGTGAACTATCCCTTTAAGAAATAAAAAAAAAACAAGTGAAGAATGTCACTTTGCCAGTCCTGGACAGACCGTTTTGAGAAAACAGTTTAAACGGCAATGACACAGATTGCCAGCTGATGACAAATCCGTTATGTGGAACTGATAATAATATAAGTTATTATGCATGTTGAAACAAACATACACGCACAATAAGTAAAATTCCCAACATTGTTTCCTATGATGTGGCATGCTGGAGCTTGCAGTGTGACAAGATTTAAGAGCAGTGATGAAATACAAAGTATTGTAATAAACCACACCACTCTCTAGTACGTAAACACTTAAGTCCATTGGCGAAAACAACAGATATAAATGAAATTCATAGTAGAGGAGAGTGGGTTAAGATGTGTCAGTGGGCATCTTAATATGCTGTTCTTTTGAACTTTCTCTTTACCAAAGAATCCTGAAAAAAGGTACCATGGTTTCAACAAAAATACACAACTATTTTTAATATCGATAAAAATAACAAATGATTCTTTAGCACCAAATCAACATATTATGGTTCCTGAAGGATCATGTGACCCTGAAGTCTGAAGTAATGACTGCTGCAAATTCAGCTTTGCCAAGTTACATTTTAAGCTAGCTAACCAATCAGAGCCCATCGCCTATTTCTGAGGGCAGGGCTTCATAAAAACAGGAAAAGATCAGCTCGTTCTCAGAGAAGGAGCAGAGTTGTGTGAAATAAAGGTAAATTATGAGAAAAATAATGTTGAGATAGATAGATAGATAGATAGATAGATAGATAAAACTTACTAACCCCAAACTTTTGAATGAAACTAAAAATATTTAGTGTTATTTTAACAGTTTAAAGTCAATCAGATGCTTTTCCTAGGGGTGTTCACAACAAAGAATGTGCTTTTATGTTCAGAAACAACTGGATGGAGTGCAACAGATTTTAAGAGCAAAATGTGTTTTTAAAATCAAGTGTATTTTTAAAACAACAAAAACAGCGTTGGGCTTTGTGGAGGCCAGTCAAGCTCTTCCACATTAAACTCGGTAAACCATTTCTATATGGACCTCTCGTTGTACATGGTGCATTGTTAAGCTAGAGCTGAATAGGGACACCTTGTTTTACTGTAAATGTTTGTCTAAGGAGATTGTATGGCTGTATGATTGATTTTATGGACCTGCTACCAATGAGTATAGCTGAAAAAGCCAAACCCTTTGATTAGAACTGTGTCTGTACACTTTTTGCCATGTAGTTTATGCCAAGTAATCCTGCTTTGAGATTTCAACCACTGAGGTAAACATAACATTGGGTTGATGGCTTGACAAAAACCACAATTAAAAGAATCTGACGGTTTTTCTTTGTGGGGACTGACATCAGCTACAACAACAGCACTGTGGCAGGATGCTCACGTAACGACTCATAAGATCAAAGAGGTGTCGATGTCAAAAGCCCTCTCAGACGTTCTCCTGTGGAAACTAGGCCAAGATTAACTGACAGTCTGAGTGAACAGGGACACGTTTCTCACAGCAGATGTCAGGCACCTGTTAGTGCTAGTCACAGTGAGACCCCTAAGCTTCAAATCACCACCCTGCCATCTCCACATGACTGGTATTCAGGACCTCTGTCCATTTGAACTGAAAGAAGGTACAAGAAAATATTGTTTGAACTGAATGTGCTAACCTGTGTAATGCTTCACCAGCTTCTGTAGAGTGTCAAACTGAGCTCTTGTGGTGATGTAATAGCCTCCGTTGTCAAGCTTTCGGATTTTGTAGTGTTTCACGTTGTCTCCCTTCATCTCATCCCAGTCCCGTATTGAAAGAGAGTAAGCCCCTGCCAGGAGGAGAGGGAGGAATGGATTCAAAATATTTCTGCTTTGGTTTGTTTTTGAGTACAAGTGCTGTGCACGTCTTAAGGCAGATAGCGATTCACTTACCTTTAGTGGTCTCACTTTCTCTGGCCAAAAAAGTGCCCCGCTGGTTTCCGGGAACCAGTAGCAGTCGCTCAGCATCTTTACGACCCATTTTGCCAAAGTACCATCTGTGAGATAAAAATAAATGAAAATAAACACTTGCCCAGCCATGTTAAAGCCGAGTTTGTGGAACATACAAAAGGCAGCCTGATGACAACTCAACTAGTATAAAAAAGCCAGCAAAAAAAACATATATATATATACACACATATACACAAAATAAAAAACAAAAAACACCAACCATGGATTATTTCAGTACACACTACCATTAATAAGTTTGGGGTCGGTACAACATTTAAGTCTCTAATGCTACATTAATTTGGCCAAAAATATGGTACAAACAGTAATATTGTGAAGTATGCGTATGCTCGCGGGCGCGAATTAACAATCACAAACGGCTGCATTCGAGTCTTCAAGGCATTTTAGGATACAACATCGTCAAGTAAGTAACTTTAACAAATGTTACAGTATTCACTTTCTCTGGCCAAAAAAGTGCCCCGCTGGTTTCCGGGAACCAGTAGCAGTCGCTCAGCATCTTTACGACCCATTTTGCCAAAGTACCATCTGTGAGATAAAAATAAATGAAAATAAACACTTGCCCAGCCATGTTAAAGCCGAGTTTGTGGAACATACAAAAGGCAGCCTGATGACAACTCAACTAGTATAAAAAAGCCAGCAAAAAAAACATATATATATATACACACATATACACAAAATAAAAAACAAAAAACACCAACCATGGATTATTTCAGTACACACTACCATTAATAAGTTTGGGGTCGGTACAACATTTAAGTCTCTAATGCTACATTAATTTGGCCAAAAATATGGTACAAACAGTAATATTGTGAAGTATGCGTATGCTCGCGGGCGCGAATTAACAATCACAAACGGCTGCATTCGAGTCTTCAAGGCATTTTAGGATACAACATCGTCAAGTAAGTAACTTTAACAAATGTTACAGTATTCACTGTAGTTGTCCGCTAGTAAAAACATAGTTTTATCAGTCATTATCATCCATTGTTTTGCGGTTACTACATTTCAGTGGTTCAGGAGGCGCTGGCTGGTGTGACTGAGTGGAGGTGGGACTAATTTGCATATTCATAGATCCGCGTATAGTAAATGAGGCAAGGGTGTAGAGTTACATTCAAGCTATTTTAAGGTATGAGAAAATTATTTTCACAAGAAAAAACATTTAAATGTCATTTTGATGTTCAAAGATAAGTTTTAAGGGATAAAATATTTGACTACAGGGGGACTTTAATTAAATGTTTTAAATTTCTGTCAAAAAAAATAAATAAATAAAAAGTAGCGTTACTGACTCCGAACTTTTGAACAGACTTGTATCTTGAAGTGTATATGAAGGATTTCAAATTCGTTATCTTGATATTTTTCCTAAAGCGGTAAAAAAATAATTAAGGCATATTTCCACACTATTTTTACTAAATGAATAGTGAAGAATGATATTTAATCATGTTCATTCATTTGAATTTCTATGAACCGATAAAGATATCTTTGCTACAACATTATATATACCGGTATATGAAAAAAGACACACAAAGACTTTTACAAACAAATCAGAACCGACTATTTTAACCCAGAAAATATATTTATAAAAATCTTTTATGAATGAATATGGTGATGAAATACTGGCTACATTTAAAGGACATTTTTGTCAAGTCAAAAACTGACTCAAAACTGTAAAACTAAACACTGCTATTTTTCAAATGTTCTGCAAATGTTTTCTAACCAAAGAATAAAAGCAAATGCTTGTACACTCTAGTATAACAGAAAAAAAGGAGGAAAAGAACAAGAGTAATAATGTGTGAGAGGGAGTAACACTGAAAGAGAAACAGACAAAGTTTGTATCTGAAAAAGAGAGAGGCTTTTGTCTCGCAGTCACGCGTTTGTTGGTGTGTTTGTCAGCACCAGCGCTCTGGGGGAACGTGTGACCGGCCATCACGCTCTCTTAATTATGGCGTGAAGGGATGAGATGATTGGATAAGCACAGGAGGAGAGGAGTTACTTACTCTTCCGCTTGGATGGAGTCTGCAGGGGCAACGTAATTGCTGGGAATGTAGCCTTTCTGCCCCGTGTTGATGGAACGAGCCTCCCACCAGTCTCCTTCTCTGTGGGCCGAAGCAAAAGACACAACAGTGTTATCAGGTTCAAGTCCTTCACTGCAAACTGAAAACAATTTAGCAACAAGCGTCTGCAGGCCGTGTTATCAACAAATTAAAAATGCAGGGAAGTGAAGGAATTTGAGGTGTATGATTAAAACGTCAGGGTCATTAAATTGGGAAAAATTTGAGCTGTGAGCATTTACTGAAAGCTAAACCTGGCTGGTGGATGAACAGATGGCCCATTATAGAAACGCATTAACCCAGACAGATTTCGCCCTTGATGAACTTGGAATACAATGATGGATTAAAAAAGGAAATAAATAAATAAATAAATATATCCCACCAAATGTAAATTCTTGTAGCTGGATTATCTTTCACATACATATATACTCAAAATATGTCGCCCCGGAGTGGATATGGGCGTACGAGAAGCTGAGGAACTCACGTGTTGTTGATGATCTGAAATCTATCGCCTTTCTTGAAGGAGAGGTCATCTGACGTCCTGGCTTCATAATCATATAAGGCCACAAAGAAAGTTACACCGCCTGCAAGAAAAATCAATTCGGGTTGTGTAAAGACGCAAATCACAGGCTCAGACAAGCAATACTATAATAGTACGCTAATAGCTAGTTAGTTGCTCCCAAGTAACTTAATTTTTCATTCGAAATTGTGGCATCAGATGCTATTTCAGCCACATAATAGAGTTTAGTTAAGCATTTATAGACATGCTGAATGACGTGTCTATTGATTTTTGTTCCCGGCTCGGTCGTCTCTGTAGTCAGTTATCATTAGCCGGCTTGCTCTTTGTCTTCACTACATCAACAATGGGATTTTCACCAGCATGGGTTATGGATGGCAGAGCTGAGATGGTTTTGAGTGGGAGGGAGGACAAAAGGAGCAGGTTGGATTAAACCTAAGTAGGCCCCCGAGACCAGATTATCCATTAGTGAAGAACAGAGGGTCGACCCGCTGATTACATCCGCTATGCCACACACACACAGATCTGTCAAGTCAAGAAGTCTAACAGGTATGACGTGTGTTTCTTCTGTTTAGCTAATAAATTGGATCAGGTTTGAACCTGTTGGTAAAGTGTCAACGATGAGTAATTAGGGTTGTTGCAATAGCAAAACTGTAGTCGATACCGCTACCTGTAAAATTTCTCTACATCAGAAACTTCTCTATAGCAACTACAATACACAGTAATTGCAAATATAAATATATATAAAAAACATTAACACTATTGTATTTATGTAACCTTATATTAAAAAAAAAATATGTTGGTAATTATATATAATTAGAGAGAGTAAAGTGTACATATGTGTGTGTGTGTGTGTGTGTGTGTGTGAGAGAGACACACATCAAAGATTATAGCATCTAACAAAATAATAAAAAATACTAAATTAAATTCAAACAAATTGAATGTAGTCTCAAAGTACCTCAGTTACGTAAACATGGCATATTTTTGCCAAGTGATAAAGTCATCAGGCAGCAATAAAGAACAAAGAAATAACAGTAACCAGCAGTTTTCTCGTTTATTTTGTCAATCTTGTTGATCAATATCAACATAATAGATAAGATAGAAAATAGATTTTCCCTCTAGAGACAATTTCCATCAGGCCACACTGGATTTAGCATTTAAGCAAAGGCTATCAGATCAAATGTTGCCTGAAAAAGCAGATTCGTGAACAGCATTTGCCCTGTGACAAAACACGATGTGATAATTACACTATTTATAACCCAACTGAATAAAAACTGTGCCGTTCACAGAGAACACACAAAGATCTAATTATTTGGCTTTTCTACTGTAGACACATATCGCATTTATACCCAGCCTCTTAGCGTTAGGGAGAGATAGACTTGGTATCAAGAGATCTCTTCACAGCACTGCCTGAAGCAGAACAGAGAAATTACCACTGAACAAAGAGGAATAAATCACATTAGTTCCCCTCACATTTATTTAGGCCTACTACAACTGCAGTTTGTAATTCTGATTTAATGAAACATACTGGATATATTGTTTTAGAGTTCTCATTTACATAACATCTGGCTTCCATGAACTCTATCTTTCCATAAAAGTGCTTACATACGCAAACAAAACAACAAACACAACCTTTATCCTCATGATGACCCTGAGCTATTGAATCTGCTAGGAAGCTATAGATGCCATATTTGATTTGACATGAATAAAAATAAGGTAGTGAGGGATATATATATATATATATACACTTTACATACACTTTGCAGTATCTGCAAAATGTTAGTTGTTTTACCAAAATCAAAGGGATCATACAAAATACTCATACGCAAAGGTTCAAATGGTCACTGATGCTCCAGAAGGAAAAACAATTTTTTTCTTATTTTGCCCAAATATCATATTTTTTCATTTAGCACTGCCCATCAGAAGCTACAGAAGATACTTACAGGTTTCCCAGAAGAAAAAATAAGTTCAATTTACCCTGATCTTCAAATTCATCTTAATGCATCGTGCTTCCTTCTGGAGGATCAGTGAGTGTTTGAAACTTTTGTAATAGTTGTGTATGAGTCCATCAGCTGTATTCAGAGGCCAACACTTTTTCACACCACTGTATATATATATATATATATAGTTATTTATTTATATTTATATTTATATTTATATTTATCCTTCACGTATTTTGTATATAGCTCTAGGGCTCACAAAATCTGGAATGGAGAAATGTCAAGATCCATGAGGTCAGATCTGGTATCAGGCATCTGATATGGTTTCTTAGGAATTCTTGTTTCCTTAGAAAAACTACTTCAGAGGTACAGACAGAGCTCTTATCGCTCGTCCACTCACCTGTGACGGCACCAGGGAAGGGGTTGCTCACAGCAACAGTGGAGAAGGAAGAGGAGGCGGCTCCACCGAAGGGTGTGATGACAGAAGAGGAGCCACCAAACGGAGTGAGCCCAGTTGTGCGGCTGTTGTAGTTGTTGGTGGGGCCCTTCAGGGCAGGTGACTGGCCCATCTGAGTGGGGTCTGGTCCATAGAGACCCATGTGTGACCCAGGGGTGGGATTGGTGGGATCTGGTCGGTACTTCTGTGTAGGACCCTTGTCTTCTTTACTCTTGACACAGCCCATAGTCAAGCCTGTGGAAAGATGAGTTAATATTTACCAGCTCTCAAGGCATTTTTGCAAAAGGAATGCAATCTTGACCTATCACAGCAATTGCAACACTTTATGGCTACAATCAAATTAATGTAAAACAAATCACACCAGACTGTTGAGATTCCCTGAGAGAGACTCTTTGACTTGGTTATTGCACACAATGGACCCTTTTCATAGACTCTGATGTGATGACGCATTTCCACGTTATTAACATGATCAAGAAACATTTCATATTATTATCAATGTTGAAAGGAGTTACTACTTAACTTTTTTTGTTAAACTGTGATACTTTTAAGGATTCTATAATAAATAGAAAGTTCAAAGGAAATGCATTTATTTGAAATAGAGCTGCAACAACTAATCGATAACAATAAGTAATCAACAAAGAATTTGATTAGTGCACAGAAAACATTTGCCGAACGTTTGCCGAAAACATCATGTCACTTTACAGCAATGAATAATGCATTTCTATGGACAAAATCAATAGAGCATACAGCAGAGGAGTTTTCTCAGCGCGTAAGTTGCTTTTCACATTTGTATCTTTATCTGTAAATGACAGAAAGCCACACAATTATTTCCATTTTGCTTGCAGACCAATCATGAAAGCTAGCGGGTCTCCGTAACTTCACAGTCTTCACTGAATGAGCACTGACTTAAAACATTTTGATAAAATATTTCTTGTTAGACATTAAACATAGGTTTAAAATTCTACATGCAACACAAGTAATTGTATTTTTAAGAGAGCAGTAACAGTAAAGAGACTTAAAGGCAGTCATGGATGTAAAAATAATGTAATTACTATTGCTATTACCATGTTCGTATACTATTACTAATGTAATTACTAATTAGTATGTTCAGATGAGTGTGTCTTCCACCTACCAGTTAACATTTAGTCTGTGTTTTTGTTTTAATTTAGTGAATTTGTAAGCAAGTCGTTTTTTTTTTGTTCGTTTGTTTTGTTTTAAGGGGGAAGCCGTGGCCTAATGGTTAGAGAGTCGGACTCATAACCCAAAGGTTGTGGGTTCGGGTCTTGTACCGGACAGCAACAGTGGAGAAGGAAGAGGAGGCGGCTCCACCGAAGGGTGTGATGACAGAAGAGGAGCCACCAAACGGAGTGAGCCCAGTTGTGCGGCTGTTGTAGTTGTTGGTGGGGCCCTTCAGGGCAGGTGACTGGCCCATCTGAGTGGGGTCTGGTCCATAGAGACCCATGTGTGACCCAGGGGTGGGATTGGTGGGATCTGGTCGGTACTTCTGTGTAGGACCCTTGTCTTCTTTACTCTTGACACAGCCCATAGTCAAGCCTGTGGAAAGATGAGTTAATATTTACCAGCTCTCAAGGCATTTTTGCAAAAGGAATGCAATCTTGACCTATCACAGCAATTGCAACACTTTATGGCTACAATCAAATTAATGTAAAACAAATCACACCAGACTGTTGAGATTCCCTGAGAGAGACTCTTTGACTTGGTTATTGCACACAATGGACCCTTTTCATAGACTCTGATGTGATGACGCATTTCCACGTTATTAACATGATCAAGAAACATTTCATATTATTATCAATGTTGAAAGGAGTTACTACTTAACTTTTTTTGTTAAACTGTGATACTTTTAAGGATTCTATAATAAATAGAAAGTTCAAAGGAAATGCATTTATTTGAAATAGAGCTGCAACAACTAATCGATAACAATAAGTAATCAACAAAGAATTTGATTAGTGCACAGAAAACATTTGCCGAACGTTTGCCGAAAACATCATGTCACTTTACAGCAATGAATAATGCATTTCTATGGACAAAATCAATAGAGCATACAGCAGAGGAGTTTTCTCAGCGCGTAAGTTGCTTTTCACATTTGTATCTTTATCTGTAAATGACAGAAAGCCACACAATTATTTCCATTTTGCTTGCAGACCAATCATGAAAGCTAGCGGGTCTCCGTAACTTCACAGTCTTCACTGAATGAGCACTGACTTAAAACATTTTGATAAAATATTTCTTGTTAGACATTAAACATAGGTTTAAAATTCTACATGCAACACAAGTAATTGTATTTTTAAGAGAGCAGTAACAGTAAAGAGACTTAAAGGCAGTCATGGATGTAAAAATAATGTAATTACTATTGCTATTACCATGTTCGTATACTATTACTAATGTAATTACTAATTAGTATGTTCAGATGAGTGTGTCTTCCACCTACCAGTTAACATTTAGTCTGTGTTTTTGTTTTAATTTAGTGAATTTGTAAGCAAGTCTTTTTTTTTTGTTATAGAATGTTTATATTTAACCCTTTTTTTGCACATAATGTATATAGTCTACATAGATACTTTCACTATATTTGTTTACATAGCCTTCAAATTGCAAATTGTTTGGAGGACAGAATTGGGCAGCATGTGGAATAACATTTTTAATAACGAATTAAAATTAATTGTTTTTATAATAAAATGTTCAACCCTCTACATTGCGAGTAAATCACTCGCATATGCGACTAAATCTTACCCTGGGCGGCTAAATAATATCTAACATTAGCCATTGGCTAATCAATTCTTAGATTTTACACGCCAGTATGTGTGTGAGACGCGTTCAACACAGATTTTCACTCGATAAACACGCTGACTGAGCGCTTGAGAGTTTCGCTCTCCGTCAAGCGATCTGTACTATTTGGATGCGCTCAATGGATCATGTCATGTACTCAATGGATGCGCAGTATGTAGCACGCAGAGCACCTGTATTTGACGTACCGTAAACTAGTGTGAAGGCGCACGACTCGCCGTCGCTTTACTGATAGCGCTGTGTTTCTCACACATGCAAAGAGAGAGAGCTAGAGTCTTGCATACCACGCTGAATCGACGCGCTACATGTAAGCCATATTCTTTGTTGTATTTTCCTGTCAAAATGGGCGGAGCTAATGCGCCAACAGCTCTCATTGGCTGGCGCTCATCTATTACTGTCCCTGTTTTGATTTCAGCAAATCAGTTCGAGCGAACGCTGACAACGTGATTAATATTCATGAACCCAGCAGATAATAGTAGTAGCTTTTAATAATAATTACTATTACCTATGACCAACAATATCTGAAACACCACCACCAGTCCTAAGTTCAGTTAAAATGACAAATATGCATTCATTCAAGTTTTAGTTCTAATCACTAGTTCGATCATTAAATAGTGCTTAATTATCATAATATAATGCTTGATTGGCTGAAGTTAAGAGTGCACATTCAGTTATTTAAGAAGCTGTTCCATTTTACAAAGATAAGCTGATTGGGTGGAATCATATGTGTGTGTGTGTACCTACTTAACCATATTATGGGGACAAGTTTGTACCCAAAAGTGAGCAAAACCTGACAAAATCGGCAAAAACCATTTGTGAATGTCCTCATTTGAAAACTGTTATAAAAATAAAGTAAAACGTTTTTTTTTACTTTTGAAATTGTAAAAATGCAGAAAGTTTTCTAGGGGTGGGTTTAGGTTAAAAAGTGTATAACTATCTGTATATAAAAACAAATCGGTGTCTATGTAATGTCCCCATTTAGATAGCTAAGTAAACGCGCGCGTGCGTGTGTGCGTGTGTAAAATAGTATATCAGTCTGGCGAGTAAACAAAAAAATTTGCTAGCCAATGGCGATTATATCGCCAAGGTGTGCGTAGAGGGTTGACAATGTTTACATTTTAATTATAATATTTAGATTTAGATTTATTTAGATTTTTTTTTATCAGATTAATTGGAGATAATCGATAGCTTAATCAATTATCCAAATAATCATTAGCCCTAATTTGAAAACAGAAATCTTTTCAGCATAAAATGATCTTTTCTGGCCACTGATTAATAAAGCAGGAGGGCAATACCCTGGCAGGCAGAGCTTCAGAGAGATGACAGTATAATCTCCAGACGCCCTGTTCACTGCTTGTGTTTCTGCCAGGCCTCTTTGTCTGGGCTGCACTCGGCACGACGCAGGCACACATGTGCAGGGGAATGAGGAATGAGAACGTGGCCTTGAAGGAACAGGTGGCCCTGAGAGGAGGGTTACAAGACACAGCAGGGCCACTGCACAGGGAACACAGATAGCTGGGAGAAACAGACGATGACAGACAACAAGATATATAGAGAAACAGCCGTTTTGGAAGTAAAAATCTCATTAAATTCCTCCATATGGGATTTTTACATTTTGAAAGAAGACTTCAAAGAAAGACCTACTGGGAGCTACCAAGTTGTTTATCAAAGGTATCTGCTTTTGTTGAAGGCATCAGGCATCACTGTATCAACTTACCATGTTCCTGGTGAGAAACTACCAATCAGAGAATAAAAACAAGCAACTCACAAAAAGTACTGTTTAGTATTCGTATGCACTCAAACTAATTGGTGTAAAAATTTAGGACCATGCGATATTTCAGTTTTTCTTGTTTAATAAATCTGCAATAATGTCAACAATTCTGTGTTTTTCTGTCAATATGGGGTGCTGTGTGTACATTAATGAGGGAAAAAAATTTACTTAAATGATTTTAGCAAATGGCTGCAATATAACAAAGAGTGAAAAATTTTAGGGGGTCTGAATACTTTCCGTACCCACTGTATATATATATTTATATATATATAAATTCTGCATTTACACTGGAAAGCCTAATACACAGATCTGATATTTTGACATGTATCCAATTTTTGTCCCACCAACAATTGCATAAGATTTTCCATTGACAGCCCTTTGTAGTACCAATACTGCATAAACACCGGTATCATTGTTTTTTTATAACATATTAGTGCTGGCGGTTTGAACAAAAATATGTATCATGCAATTGAATATTCTGGTGGTTTCATGTCACTGTATTTTTCCTTTTCATAACTGAACCATTATATAGGTTTAGAGTGCATTATTATTATTATTGTGGAAATCATAGGGCTCTGTGTGGAATTCCATGTTAAGGAGAGAGTAAGTTGTGTTGGTTATTCATTGTTGTGTTATAAAGTCATAACCATGAGTACAAAAAGAGTATGCAGTTAATAGTTGTCCTATCCCAATACACTCTAAACAATGCTCTTTATGGCCATTTAATCGATACAGCAATAGTTTCACCTATGCACCGTTATGGCGATATTTGAAAAATACATAAGTGAAATCAAAACCGTTATACCAGATTAACCGGTATACCATCACCCACTAAAACATTGCTTTAACGGTACTTTATACATCCCTATCTTGGAAACATAAGGACACCCGCCAAATCTAGTAAATGGCTCACCTCCCCGTCGTGTACTTCTAGAGATTATCATATTGTAAAGAGCACAGATCATCACCACAAGTACTTAATTAGGGTAGGGTGGTCTGCTGTTAAGAAAGCTCTTTATTTGAAAAACAGCATGAGTGACAGAGAGATTGACATGAGAGCATATTTCAGCAAATGGCTGAAAGAGAGACAGAGGATTGGAAGAGAAAAGGCTGAAACAAAGTAGTTTGCAGATGTGAGGATTATTGGCAAACAATGGGAGGTCTGTGCCTATAGAGGGTTGAAAGAGCATTAACAGTGTGTACACATCAGTGACACGGACGAATGGACCCTATTCTCTATGCTCGGATGATCTTTGCACTGTACATCCATGTACATTCACACACACACACACACACACACAGCTTGTCTGAAAGCGGTGCAAGATAGGTCATATATTCAAAACAAATTAAGTCACTAAAACTTGCTCAGCAATCAGGGTTGAGACAACAAGTATTTAAGAGAAAGCTAGGAGGGTCAAGGAACATCTTAGGCCGTGTTTACCCCTGGTATTAAGATGTAATTTTTTTCCGATCTGATCACAAGTGGACAACACTAAATATGGGTGTAAACAGGGTTTGAAACATTTTGAGCTTGTCTACTTTCGACCACTTCCAGAGGAAAATGCATCCGACCGGACTGCTTTCGTAGTGTGGACGAGCATGTGGTTGAACGTGTTTGAACAGCCACTAAAGATGTCTCCTCTCTGCCTAATGATGACCTAATTCTTAAACATTATGGGATGTGTTGTTGAAGCTGCTGCTCTCCATATCAATTTCCGGTGTCTCCTTTCAGGTTCTTATGTAAACTGCGCAAGCTTTTTTTGCAATATCAGATTGAAAGATCAGAAAACAGGTGGCTGAAAGCGGACAAAAGAGAAAGATTAAAACACAAGGTGTAAATGGGAATGTGTCTCCCTCTTCTACTTGTGATGCGATTGACCAAAATGCATCTTAATATCAGACGTAATCAGGGCCTTCTCTTCTTATTGACCTTTAGTCATTTCCTCTATGTAATCTGTCCCCAACACTAGAACAGGGTGGAAGCTTAGGCTCATTATGAGCTTTAAGGGTCATTTAGTGCTCTGTTTAGTCTAACTGCAATGTAGAAGACTGGCCCCAGTGTGAGAGTGCGTGGGGTTCCTCATTTCAAATCCCCTGATCTGAGTACTGAAGGTATCTAATCTTCTAGAGGACAGCATTGCCCCCGATGGCGCTGACACAGATCCAGACCACACCAACCACGCAAGGTCATTGATGCATGCGGACATCTCAAAATAATTCATAAAAGAATGATGGCAGCACAAGGCGAAAAAGATTTCCTGTGTCCTGTAAGGTATCAAAAACATAAAAAAGGCACATGGTCCAGCATGTCTACTTAGCTGCTCTCCAATTCTCAAATCCACGCTCTCAAAACCAAATCTGATCCTTCAAGTTGTGCACAACACAAAGTGCTAATAGGAAAATCCTGGGTTTATCGAGGGACACTTGGGTGTGTGAAACGTGTCTTCAAGGTAGGTTATAAATTGCCTGAATGAGGAAAACAGCCTTCGAAACCATGCAAAAAAAATAAAAAAATAATTAACTCTGCTACCAGTGATTCTGAAAAAAAAAAGAAGAAAACTATTTCAGATTTTGTCTGAAAAATGGGGGAAACCCCTGTAAAACAATTTAAGTTTCACAGTCTAATAGTAAATGTTTTGTGAAATGTCCAGTAAATATATATGTTTGTGAGATGGATAAATAGAGCAAATAGGCTAAATAGAGCAAGAGGACAAAATAAATAAATGTTTTGTTTATTCACATTACATTCTAACAAACCAGGTAAGGCTCTCTTCACCTCTGATGCGTTACATTTCTTGAACCACAATCATTGACATCACTTCTTATAATGCTTTGCTGTCTGTGCCACTGAAAAGAAGCAGCGCTTCAGGGTTTATCCTTTATAGTTATCCATTACAAAGACCTCTTAAGTAAGTCAATGAGGTCAGGCAAAGGGTCATAAATCTCATTGACCATGCCCAGTTGTTATAGGTCACACATCTGTTAGGCAGTGTAAATCAACCCAAAATGGTAAGCAGGTTGGCCACTTGAGCTCTAAGAACTGAACAGCTGAACAACCGAACAAGTGGCCAAGATATATTAAAGGAATATCAAATGACCCTCGTGATTACAGCTGCTGAAACATGTGACTAGGCTGTCTGATCGATAAACTACAATAGAACATAATGAACTCTACCGGGCTAACATGAATTGAAATCAAACTGAATCTAATTCAGTTAGGTTGGATTACACAAGGTTCCTGAAGCTTTCATTCATCCACCATCTGATCCAGCTGGGCCTGTCAGAGGTAAGGGCATACATACCATTTAGAAGTTTGAGGCCAGTAGGATTTTTTTTTAAATTATAATTATTAATACTTTTATTAAGCAAGGATGCATTAAATTAATCAAAAGTGCCAGTAAAGACATTTGTAATGTTACAAAAGATTTCTATTTGAAATAAATGCTGTTGTTTTCAATGTTTAACATCCTCAAAAAATTTATTACAGTTTCCACAAAAACCAAAGGACAATGAAAACTGGAGTAATGCTGAAAATCAGCTTTGCCTTCACAGGAAAAAAATTTAGTTTAAAAATGAATTAAAACAGAAAAATGTTTTTGTAATAATATTTTACTATGTTAAATGCAATCTTGGTAAGCATAAGACACTTCTAACAATAAGTAATAAGTAAGTAAGTAAGGAATAACTGATGACGGGTCATTGAAATATAAAAAAAAAATAATACACACCCGAGGTGATGATGCGGCCATGACATGAAGCGGAGTGGCTGTTACACCTTGGGTGTGCATTATTTTCTAATAATTTAATGGACCGGAGTCAATTATTCTGCTTATACTACGGTTACCACACCTAATGACATTGCTCAGATTGTATTTCAAGACATTCATCAGGTTTTTGCATGTAGGAATTTCTTACGCATCTCATCCAATGCCTCCGTTGTCAATTCCAAAACACTGTAATTTGTCATTTTTATCTTATCGTTTACTATATTTATTTGCTTGGTCAGTGTTATTGTGGGTTTTGGTTCTTTTGTGGTTGTAGGCTGTGTGGACCTTTGATATAACTGAAATCATTTGCCGAAGTGATATGGACATGTAATGCAGTCAAGACTCGCCTGTAACTACTTTAGCCGTGCGTTTCCCTGAAAATAATTGCACACCTTAGAATGTTCATCAGCCAATCAGATTCAAGCATTCAACAGCCCTGTAGAATAAATTAATGTAACCGACCCGAAACTTGTTTGCATACACAAGCAGATTGGAACTATGGGACTAAAGTCATTCATGCCTTTCCCTCTTTATCAGTGATGTCCTGTAATGACACGTCCTCTCCGTCCTCTATAAATCATATTACACACCAATCATTTGACCCACATTCTAATCAACCAGTCAGTGATATGAACTCTCTAATTATGAGACGTCTCATTATCCCCCGAGCGCTGATGAGAGCCTCGAAAAGCACTCTGTTAGAATTATCAGCCCCGCTGCTCCAATACATGACTGGAGAGAGTGAGCTGACACAGCCACTGGTTCTTGCTCATGGCAGCCGTACGGTGACATGGTTAATGATGGTCAGACACATTTGCACACAGACCTGATTAAGTCAGAGCATCAGAATGCCACAGGACATGAAACATGGGGCCTGATGCCAGCGCTAGTCAGATCAAATGGATTAAGGGCAGAAAATCAACAGCTCTGCAGAGATCCATGCGTGCTGTTTGAATGTATGCTTACTTCAGTGTCTGCAGTAGTATGTGTCCCAGGTCTTGATCACTGCATTAACAATGACTAGGAAGCATGAGTACTACTGAAGGTGATACTTTCTCCAATCTGAACGATACAAGGTACTGGGTAAGTTCACCCAAAAATGAAAACTGCATCTAGTGGCTTTAACTGGATAGGCTAACAAAAACATTATAATGCAACAACACTTACATCGTCATCGCATCTCGTGCGCCGCTGATAAGGCTGCCTCCTTAACGCACACCTAAAATTCAAATGCAACGTTTTTGCATTCGAATGTGGATTTTTATTTTAAATGCGACGAATATTCGAAATGCTAATTTTTTTTGACAGCCCTAAGCAGCAGTATGCCTTAAATACTCACATCACCGTATTAGTGTATGTATTGGCAGTAGCAAGTTCCTGTACTTGCAGTGCAGCAGCAACAATAATGAATGGCAATAACCAACAGCAGCAGCAATTCAGCAGTGTAGCAGATCTATTCTGCCAAGACCAAATGCATAAACATTGCCATATCCATTACCGTGCTAAAATCTTCAGAGAGTTGTCATGATAGAAAAGCAGATATTTTGAAGAATGCTTCACCCATTTTTGTTCACACAATGAAAGTCAGTGGGGTCCAAACCACATTGGACCCTACTGACTTTCATTGTATTGACAGACAAAATAAATCAATAAATACACTTTTTTGTGTGTTACAGGTCTGGAATGACATGAGGGCAAGGAAATTATGTCATTTTTTTGTGTGTGAACTATCCCCAGCTATAAATATGGTGTGAACTAACAAATGGACACACACCACCTGTACCATTAATATCACGCCAACAAAGAAATAGGGAGGTGACTTCTGATTATTTGCCAGAAAGCAGACAGGTGGGTTGATCTGCCTACATGAATGAAGCCAGCACTGAAGTTACATAACCAATGATACAAGTCTGATCTTGTACAGTTCTGTTGTATTCCATGTCCACCCCATGCACAAACAACACAATGCAGCCTGGAATGGTCATGAATTTAAAAGTGAAACCTGCACTTTTTCCATTAAAGAAATAGCCTACACAGTCTGCTACTTCTAACCTATAAAATAACAATTTCATGGACATCCAGGAAGAAAGTTCTCTCATTGCTGTTTTGAAGGACCCACAATACTTTTCTATACTTTGCTGATCATGTCACTGCCTACCGACATTCTTGATCCCATACTATCTCTGAGCTCTAATCCTCATCCTAAGGTAGCCTTTCTGGTTTTCAGTGAAATCGCTGTGTTAGTAAATACAGAGCTTGGCTGAGCTGACTGCTGGACATTAAGTGTAACACTGTAGTTGATCTGGCAGACTCACAGCACTGCAGAATGGCATGATCACCATGGCATTCTGCTGCTGCTGCCAATCAGAGTCAAGCAAGGAGGGGGACAAACTTCCTTCCGAGTCCATTCATACCACAAAAACCACCTGCTGTGCCTGTCAAAGGCTGGAGTGAAGGGTGAGGGAGGACAGAAAAAGATGGACATGAGGGATGTTTAGACCCATAACTGCCATAGTCAACCCATTTCTACCCGTTAGAATCATGAATATAGTTACATCTTTGGCAAAGACAGAGATTTAACCAATGTGTTTGTAGTCAACGTAGCATTACTTTCAGCCCCGTCATAATAATATCTGCACTGCATATTAGTGAATGATAGTGCAGAAATAACTTCAGAATGACATCACTGATCACTGTCATTCTATGTACACAGTCTTTAGGCTAAAATCCCTTAACTTCCCAGTGATTTACGCTTCCTCATTGATGCGTGTGTGAATAAAGGATCATAAAGGGACATGGAGTGTAGACAGTTCCTGAACTGAGAGTGGGAAACTTCAGAACGAATCCAACAAGCTAATCATATGTGTGGTATATTGCTTAAACCGGGGATTTTCTGGTTTCTGGCCCTTGTTTTGGTGAAAAATTCAACAGAATTTTTACTGTAATATCAGGGCCGTCAATAACTAAGACCAACGAGAACATTTGGCGAGTCCAATGACCAAGTCCGAGTGCAAACACCAACGAGTCCGAGACAAGTCCGTGACGATAGAAAAATGTCTCGAGTCTGGACTCGAGTACTACAGCCCTAAATGTCATCTGCTGGTGTTGGTCCATTGTGTTTTTTGAAAACCAACATCACTGCACCCGTTTACCAAGAAATTTTGGAGCACTTCATGCTTCCTTCTGCTTACCAGCATTTTGAAGATGCTGATTTCATTTTCCAGCAGCATTTGGCACCTAAAATAAATGAACTTTTCCACAACATTCTAATTTATTGAGATGCACCTGTACATATTCATGTTGATCTTGAGCATCAACTCAGCGTATTAGAATGATTTCTGAAGTCATTCTTCAGAAATTCTTCATTCTTCTTCTGACACTGAAGACTGGCGCAATAGCTGCTGAAAATTCAGCTTTGGCATCACAAAAATTACATTTTGAAATATTACAATATAAAACAATATATTACAATACAAAAGACTTATTTTAAACTGTAATAATATTTCACAATATTACTGGTTTACTTTATTAAACGCAATCTGTCCTGAAGTCTGTTTTGCTATATTTGTCTTTTAAAATATAGATGTGTGTTTTTCAATTTTGCTGTGGCATCAAAATTGGTTTTGCAATCTTGAAATGATTACAGGTCACTGAGGTCAGAAATCTTCATATCATATTTGGTGATTCTTTCCATTTACAAGATTTGAAACCCACAAAAGGGCCATAACCTGCGTGACTCAGTGGTAGTAACATGTAGTATACAGAAGTAAGGATCAGAGAGCTGAAGATGGTATCATTCCCTTCACTCAGAGTCAAGTCAGCACGTCCAGTGGGGCAGAGGTTGTGCTCACAGAAGGATTACTGAAGGAGGATTATTCAGGCACTTGCGCTCACACGAACTCGGCTTTGTTATGACATCTTTTTCATTAATTATTCTATGTAAACAACCAAAAATGGTGTGAAATGCCCGGATGTTGCGAGTACCTACAAACTGGGTGGATGGTTAACAACGCACTGGAAAGGTCTATTGTTAAGATTGCATAACTGATCACGAATCCCTCTCAAACATCATTAAAAGCTGAAATTGTCGCGGAAACTTAGCCTGCATAGTTTACTGATAAAGAATTACACTATATCAAAGCGAGTCGTTCACACACTGGTCCAAAGTATGAATCGCACCGTGTTCCTTGTGGCGTCTATGTAAACTACAGGCCTGCACTGTGGACATTCGTCCACACAATCCTCATAAACAGACAGACATGCGAGTATAGATCAGTTTCAAAGTACTGGCGTTCACCGTAACGTCCGATTAATTGCGAACGGGACGTTTAGAGCGTTTCCTCGGGAATAGTGGAGCCACGTTTCGTTCTCGGTCTGTGTCGAAGAGAGCACGGTAGTCGGGACTTCTTTTGAGAAATACAACTAGTTCTGGGACAAGAAAGCGTCTGCCGCAGAGATTTGTATTCAGGTTAGGAGAAAACACTGAACTTAAGCGCCTACTGTTGTTTTCAAAGCACCAGCAATCACACTCGTTTCACACAAAATCAACGGCGAGAGGAGACTAGTCCATTTGACTAACGTTACACTTTCACGAAAGGAACCGAATCAGTTTTCTTACCTTTGTCGAATCGGTTCTTTTTTTTCTTGAGGTTACATACGCCTTCCGACCGCTTCGTCCTCGGTATATGTTTCAGTGTAGCACTCAAAGTGGTATCGTTGTGTTCAACTTGAAAATCACAGTCTGTTCCATTCCTTTGCCATGTAACACCTCACGAGACGTGATAAATAAATGCTGTGTCCAATAGAGGAAAAATCCGTGATAGATATTATTAATCCAGTCACGTTACTTGGTTTTGTTCTTGTGTTGCTGTAAAAGGAAAAGAGTAACAGTGACCAATCCTAGCAAACAAAAACCTTTAAACCGGAACCGGTAGAGATTGTGTGGCTATGATACATGACAAAAGACAGCTCTAGGAATAGTGGATGGACTCCCGCAGATGTTTCCCCTCCCACCGCTTTGAATTGGTTTAACTTGCAACAACGCATCCCACAATATGGCCGCCGCAGGGAATGGTGAACGGAAAGAAGTCACAGTTTCTCAGTTGACAAGCAGAGGATAGACCATGAGCCGGTGATATTTTAAGCATAATAGTATTGCAGGTCGCCTTTGTATTATGCCAACATAATAACACTAGTCGGCTCATGGTGTACGGTGTTGGATCAGTCCTATGGCGCCCCCTGTCTGTGGCCTTAAATCACTGCAGCTTTCTAGTATTCGTTTACGTTTAGTAGTGGGCCTACATCCTGGACACATTTTTATTTAAAACAGCCTACATAATAATTTTATATTTAGTCAGTGACAGAGTGTAAGCATATGTGTCTAATATAATGAATATTTCTATTTTGGTGTCAGCATTGCCTGTGCGTGGGTTGAATGACCAGAACTTTTTAACTCTTCATATGTGTAAGAAATATTAATTAAAAAACCTTGCCATTTTAACTCTATTTCGGCTTTATTCAAACTTGTATGGTTGGCGTGTAGCATCTAGAGTTCAGAATTGTTTATATTTAGCAAATTATGTTACTTCTTGGGTGTCATAATTTTCATGAATGGTTCATTTTATAGGCTATTAGGCAACTGATTATCAAGAATATCTAATAAGATTTGTTCTTCAAATGTTTTAAAACATCACTAGACCCCAGTGCAGTGTATCAGTGAAATAATGTATTTTAAATGTAATTTATTTATATAAATAATAAAACATGGAAGCTCAAATGTGTGCCTTTCTGAGTTTCCCATATTTGATGTAATCTGTTTAAACTTTCATTTTAGGTGACCTTTAAACGATATACATATTATCACTGTCCATGATATATTGTTGCATTTTTGTATTGCGATATATTGTGACATGATATATTGTTACATCCCTAATGTGTATATTAAATACAACAACTCATGTAAATGTAATTTGATCAAAACTCCCATATATAAGAGTTGCAGGCCCTATCCACAGCGCAAAGTTGATGTATTTCCTCAGCGACCAGCACGGTCAGCTCCAGGCATGACGAAGCAAAGCGGATATCATCCTCTTTTGGAAGGCCACTTTCACAACGAAACACACAGCGCCTTCACGACATGGCGGCGGCATCAACAATACTACAGCGAGAATAAAAGTTACGCCTTCTTTCTTTACGTGATCATTTGGGCGGCGTTATGCAAATCTTCCCAGATAGTGACGTAGACATGTGGGGGAGTGTTTAAATGAGCCATTTTAGGTAGGTGTGGTTGACTTTTATAAAGAATATCTCTTTGGATTTGAGACTTTAGTCTTTGCAACTTTACAGATCTTCTTTATGCATCAAGAGCTTGTAACACTTCAAAGAGAAAGAAAAACTTGAAATCGCATCATATGACCCCTTTAAGTGTTACTGCTAAACGTGAACTATCACTCCACTGGTAAATACTGACATCAAGTGGAGGTTAACTGCACTACAGATTACTGTTCTATGCAGAAGTAAACCGAATGAAGGCTCTGCATAACTTGCATTTATTATATTTTTTATTTAACTTTTGTTTCCATACTTATGTGCATATTGTCGTGTTCTGTATATGCCGTAAATAAATATACAGCATATATTGTGCCTTACGAAAATTAACCATGGTTTATTATAGTAAAACTGTATGTAACCATGTTTTTTTGGCATATTGATTACCATTTGTATAACCAGTTTTACTACAAATGCCATGGATAAACTATAGTTAGTTTAGCAAAACCATGGTTAATTTGTGGTTACCATAGTTTTCAAGTAACCATGTTTTTTTTTATTTGTAGTAAAACCTTTCTTGCGCTGCAATACACTGCATATTTACTACTGTAACCAACATATTTTAATACTGTATCATACGCTGCTTAAAAAAAACTACATGATAGCTCCTGAAGACACTGCATAATAGTCTCATAATAAATGATACTTCAGTTTTATAATTTATGTATATATAAAATAATAATTTCCAAAAATTAAAAAAATCTTGTTTTTAATTTTGAAGCCGTTTTAAGTGAGGTTTCTTGTATGCTGTATGCGTGCTTATATATGCGTCATAGAGAGGTCGTGTTCATCCACAAGGGAAACCATAAACCACCAGTTGGAAATTTACAGTACCACAATACGCAGTGACACAGGAGACGAATATATTTCCTCCCGCTGTAATTAGGCACATCAATACTTGCACTCAAGTTGACAAATCCACCGTAATCTCATTGGTTACAGCAGTGTACACAGAGGAAGCAACTTAATAGCTTTACTGTAAATAATTCCTCCTCTTGACTCACACACTGTCAGTAAAAGCACGTTTTCCAGCCTTTCTCATTTACTTAATTTACAGTAGTTGTGTTTGTCTCTTTTTACGGCAAGTATGGTTTATGTGAACCGAAAACGATTATTAAAATAATACTGGCCTGGACATGCATGCATACATAAATATCTGAATGAATGAATGCGCATTATCATTGTCCCATTCACCCTACAAAGATAACACAATAATAGGACAGTTTATTTAAAATCAGTTAGATCCTTGAACCTGCTTCAAGCACGAAGCATTTATCATCTCACCATGTATTTAAAAAAAAATTTCGCAAGACAACTGTATAATTTACGGTAGACTTAATTTAGCGATTTAGTTAGACACGCTTTTATTGACATCATATTACTATGGTGATTCAATTGTGATTTATTAAATGCATCAATCTCTCTCTCTCTCTTTTTTTTTAAATTCCAGACTAGACAACGTATTTGACGAAGACGGAAACTCGTTAAGCGACCTGGCTTTTGGCACTGATCAAATTGCTATACGAAGTCCTCCATCTCTCACGGATGACCTGTACACACTATACTATCCGCCAGAGAAAAGGTAGGCTACATTATTTCACATCACTCCGCTGTATGAGAATCAATGTCATTATGTTTAATTTATGTTGTTCCGCTATGTCTGTTCCTTTTGTTTCCCAGCTTTTTTCCTTTGCTTTTTTCTGTTATTGTTATTGTTGCTGTTGATATTTGCATCAAGTGACTATTTAAGGTAGATAGATAGATAGATAGATAGATAGAGCGACAGATAGACGGATCGATTGACAGATTTACGAGGTGAATCGAAAGTAACACTATTACGCGTTTAGCCGAGTGAAGAATACAACAAATGCAACAAACGTGTTCTGTGGTATTTCATCACTGATATTATGTGTTTGGCGTTTTATCTCAGAACGGAAAGGCATGCAGATGGATTATTAGATAGAGCCTTGAGGGACATCCTGGTTCAGTTATCAGCACGAAAATATCTGCATTCTCTGATGGCAGTTCGCGTAGGGTAAGGGCATTTTTTAAGCGTTTACCTGCCGTCATCTTTGTTTTCCCCCTCTTAATTTCAGTGGAGGTGAATTCTCGTTGTCCTGTCTTGACTTTCTCTTGTCTTTATTTTTTCCGACTTCTTCTTCTTGTGTCTTTGTCTGTGGGCTCGCATGGGCGTGGAATTCCATGGGGAACAATTCGTACCCGATAAATTAAAAGTGATGTTAATTGCTTGTGCTAATACGAAAATGTTGTATATTGTCAGAGAAAAAATGCCGAGAGACAATGCGTCAGAATACATTTAAATTCCAACATGCATAATTTATGAGGCTTGTCTGCTGGATCTTCTTTCGATTTCTAATATAATTCGTTGTAATGCTAACGAAACAAAAATGCTCGATAATTTATTATTGAACAATGGAATAAAAAAAATATGTTTGGAGGATCAAGAGCGTCTATGCTGTACTGAAACCTGTTAACACATTTTCTGTGCCAGCCGGTAGCCTAATAATAGTTCATATATTTGCAGCGGAGGAAGCAGCGAGGAGGACGAATCGGAAACCTTATCAAAAAGGCATTCGGATGGGATCTTCACCGACATTTACAGTCGCTACCGAAAACAGATGGCCGTCAAGAAGTATTTAGCAGCCGTCCTGGGAAGAAGGTACAGACAGAGAATTAAAAACAAAGGACGTCGATTTGCTTATTTGTAGCGCTGACAAAACTGCCCCCAACTGCCCCTCCATGTGTACATTCAGTCCTAAGATCAAAGTCATTCTGATATAACTGATTAATCAGTGGATCGCGCCTGTGTTCTTTAAACATGTATTTATGTATGAAGTAAAGCCATTAAAATGAATATTTTACTAATAACATTGTTTTTCTTTTTGTACAAAAGCACTTGAAATTGCACAGTTATAATTTGTGGACCAACCCTTCAGTGTCATGTATATAGCTATATGTTAAAAACAAAAGAGAACAAAAACCATCAGGAGAAGAAAAAAAAAAGAAGAAAAAAATGTGCACCTTGAACGTTATGCGCCTGATATCTTTTCAAATTCATCATCATATGCAGAAAATAAATAGATTTTAAAAAGACAATCAAAGTTCTGAATGTTATACTTATTTTTGTAATCTGCTAAAAGAATAGAGTCTTATTTTATCCAAAGTCTGCCCAGGGATGTATCGAACATTCTCTGTAAAGTACAGGGCTGTTTCAACTGTTGTGACTCCCCCATTAAAAGGGGGAGTGGGAGAGGGGTATATAGTAGCTGGCACGATTCCTTCTTTCTTAGCCCACTCATTTGTGAACTGTACTTCAAATCACCTGTCTTCTCCGAATGGAATGTGATTGTCCTGCCTGTGTTTGTGATTGGAGCCAATAACCAGAATGTCTGACTGACACTGGAGTAACTGTAGTATTGATATATGTTTGTTTGTTTTTTCCTTGGTGGATTTTCTTTCTATTGTTTATTTTTCTTCTTTATCCCAGTGCACGTTATACTTAAAATGCATATATGCATGTCTTTTGCACTTCTATGTTTCCCATCCATCCAATGTTTCCATGCTCATTGTATTGGTCCCTCCATCAGAAATTACATGAGATCGCGAGAGGAAGCAAGAGAGCAAGAAGCAAGAGTCATTAAAAAAAATGAATCAAACTGAATCAAATTGAAGAAGCCCTTATATTCAAATACATGCTCCACTGAGCTCCTAAAACGTGTAAAACGGGGTCTCTCAGTTCTTTGCATGTATTCAATGCCTTTATGGGTGGCTTCCCATAATTTCTGACCAAATTTTGTTCTTATGCCTTATTGTAACGCAGAAGCTGTGAATGCTTTGTTATGTGCTCTCTGCAGTTAGGCTAAACCAGTATCGAGTAGCAAGTCATGACATAATGATCATCTGACACCACCACTATTTTAAAATTCAGTTAAGAAATGAATGTGGTGGATGGTCCCTTCACGTCCATGACTTAATTGTGAAACCTTCTTCAGTGGTGCGATCGCTCCTTAATTCTGCTGAGATAGGACCAAGTATGCTTAACTAATTCATTCATCACCTCATTGTAGATCTAGAATTAAAAGGTCAATCGTGTTAATGCTTAGCTGTAATTGCTGCTGATGACTGAGGGAATGTGAGGCTGAGAGAATGAGGAGGACAACAAAAGCGAAGGGGGAGGTCCTCGTGAACTTCAACGTGACCATTGTCATATTCATTGTCCTTATTTCCAGATAGTGCTAGTGCATGTTGAAGATAGCCTTTTTCTTGTATGTATAGATGAGGTACACCCATCACCCTTAGGGAGGGATGCACTGCAAAACCATCTATTGTTTGTCATTTTTTTCCGCCATATATTTTGGTTAAGCCTGTATTGAATTCAGCATATTTCTCCTGATATGGAAATCAGGTCTTATTCATCCACTAATCCAATATGTAAACCGTTGTCCCAGGCATGAAATCAATCTTTCTTCAATTTGGCATTGTCCCCCAGGCTTTATGTGAGTATGGATGCGTCTCTGAGAGTGTTATGCGAGGGGTGCGTGTGCATGTAGGAAGGGCGGGAGGTGGGTGGGTGAGTGAATGTGTGCGTGAACATAATGATGTTATGAAAGATGATATGGGTTTTGGCTTAGGTGCCTTGTGACAACTTACTATCAAAAAATCGCCACTTATCACGGATGGCAATTTTAGTGGCCCTACAATGCTGCAAACTATTAGGTTCCATTTCACAAACTCCATCATTACTTATCCTCTCCTTTTCTTTTCGAGACTTCGTTTCAAACCTAATTCTTTAATTAGAGCTGAAAAGCATGGCCAGCATATATTGTGATCAAATCTATTACTGAAGTGGTGTACATGGTAAAAGTATTAATTGTCTGGATTGTTTAAGCTGATGAATGTGTGTAAATGTGGCAAGCTCGTGTTTCTGTTTAGCTCTACTCATTGTAGCTCAAGGCCCATGAAGCCTAACTAGGTTTTGTGTTGCTTCTTGTTGCATAGCTTGAGGGTTTTTTGACAGCGAGTGGAAAACCCGCTGGAACCCTGGCCACAGCACACCCTGTTGTGTACATTTCTGAAAGCGCCAAACGCCTTAATGTGAACGTTTTATCTATACCTGAAACATATATGTGACAAGTGAATATTAGCAAGTGACATCATCCTATATTAACACATATAACCCCTTAGGGGGTGACATTTTTAAATGTTAAAAAGTGTTGTAAGATTTGTATGAATAAATTTTTGTAAACAACACAATTTCTAATCCATGTCTAATCTTTGGAACGTTCCACTATAGCCTGTGTAAACGCACAGTTTGTGTGTTTCTCTATATGGCTACTTTTATTCACACAAGCACACGAGGAAGGCTCACACTGTGACACTAATGATAGACCAAAACTCACTGCTGTTCAAGATGTGTAATTAGTATAATTCAGATCTCCAAAAATCACTGTGGGTGAGCTGAGTGGTTGTCACAGCTTTAATTTATACTCACAACAATCATAACATTAACATCATGTCAGTGACCCTGGGCGACTAGATCAAGAGTGACGCTCAATGAAACACCACTTCAACACTGACAGCAAGACACACACACACACATGCATGCAAAGATATTTACTCATACTGTAAACAAAGATAAAGAAGAAACATTCACAAAAAGATTTTATATAAATAACAAGTTAAATAACAACACAAATAAATAACAATTCTACAGTTGTGGCGGAAGATCACACAAATTCTGTGTTGGCCAGCAATAAAGGTGACTCAAGATGCTGAAGATACATATAATTTGTACATGATGTGTTTCTGGACGTCCCAGTCAACTACAGAGGTAAGTCAAAAGCCTCATTGCTCTGGACGTTAAGTTTATAAAATGAAACTGATATAATGTCAGAGTCCAGTACAATCAAACTCTGTTAAATCTGACTTTAGAAACAACAAAGAATACAATCTCAAAATCTGACTTCAGAAAAAAAAGGAAGTTAAAGCTTCAAACGCACAATTTAAAGAAGACGGAAAAACATTAGATGGCTAGTTTTTACCTCAAAACAGTAGTGCCAACAATGCCAAAGGTTATAGGTTCGATTCCCAAGAATAGCATGAACTGATTAAATCTACACTTTCAATGCAAAAGCATACATTTAAAAGTATAAGATTTTGGTGTGCTGTGCCTTCAACAAAAGCTAATACTCTTGCTTCAGTCCATCCTGGAAGAAAAGCAAGTTTTTAGGACAAGATAGCTCTGTCTGTGCTGGCAGAGACCTCATGACACACTCTATAGCTCCTCACATATCTTCTGTCATCGTCTTTCATGCCTTCCAGCCATTAAACAAGTAATGTTTCCTTCTGGGATGAGACCTTCGGTCAATCTTATTCAAAAGTGTGGTCAGAGTGTGCAAAGTGTCACTTGCTGTTTATTTCATATTGTCCAAGCACTGTATAGCACTGGTAAAAAGCCATTGAAACTCCTCCTTAAAGGGAGCCAAGTGCTAATGGAATCGCTTCTAACCCGGGTAGATGATGATGGAAACACTACTTACCCTACTAAACGATTTAAAAGCAAGTCACAAGGACTATTTTAACAATGCAGCACATATTAAAGTACAAGTCTAAAGGAGCTTCACAGTAAATCTGAACACATTCCAGTGGGTGGAACAAACAGCACTCAAGAAAACTCTTCAGTGTTCCATAAGTCTTTTCGGGAACGTTTCTGCATTCAACAGTGGGAGTTTTCCATGATCGCTTTCAAGCCACCATGTATAAAAATAGATGTCCCTATTGTATAGTAGTGTTGTGCTGGTATACATTCTCTCTGACTGAGAGACAAAGGCTGGGAAGAGAACTCGACCCGCGGGACCGGGGCTGAGGGTGTGGCTCCAGATCCATTAGTGTGATCTGATCCTGTGGTCCATGCAGAAGGCAGATGCTTGCTCCCATAGTCAACTAACGTAATCAGGGAAGTGTTGCTGAGCAACAGGCCACAAAGGACTGTATATCTGTAGGTGAGCATGTGTATACACATGGTATTTGATGGCAGCTTGAAGAAAACTTTAAGGGACTTTGCTGTGGCTACACATTTTCTATGGAATACCATAGACCAAGGGTTTTCAAAATGGGGTCTGAAAGGGGTTTAAATGAGGGCTGTGAATTTTAGAAGAAAAAAGATTTCAATTTCAAATAAATGCCGTTCTTTTAAACTTTCTATTCATCTAAAAATCTAAAATGTAAACCATCTAAAAATTATGGTTCCACAAAATATAAAGCAGTATTGCTATTGACATTGATAACAACATTAACCAAATCAGCATATTAGAATGATTTCTGAATGATCATGTCCCACTAGTGACTATATATAAAAAAATATATAAATGTTTTATTATTATTTTTAACTGTAATAATATTTCTACAATATTTCTGTTTTTACTGTATTCTCTGGTCAACAAATGCCGTTCTTTTAAACTTTCTATTCATCTAAAAATCTAAAATGTAAACCATCTAAATATTATGGTTCCACAAAATATAAAGCAGTATTGCTATTGACATTGATAACAACATTAACCAAATCAGCATATTAGAATGATTTCTGAATGATCATGTCCCACTAGTGACTATATATAAAAAAAAATATAAATGTTTTATTATTATTTTTAACTGTAATAATATTTCTACAATATTTCTGTTTTTACTGTATTCTCTGGTCAAATAAATGCAGCCTTCGTGAGCATAAGACACTTCAAAAACATAAAAAAAAATCTTACCAACCCCAAACTTTTGAACAGGAATTTAAATATATTGTGTTGATCTCAGATGTGCTTTAAAGTTCATAAAAAGGTATATATTTTCCAAATAATATTTTGACAATTTACTTGCAGAATGACAATATAAAAGCCGATTCATAATTTTGGAAGCACTTAATATTTTTCCTCAAA